AAAAAAAAAAAAAAAAAAAAAAAAAAGCCCAAAATAACATTAACAAATAATAACAGTCTCCCATGTGTCAAGTACTATTCCAAGGATTTTTGCAAAGTCATTCGCATCTGACCCTCATTTACGTATTATAATTATCTAAGTATTATAATGCTTTACATATTATAATTGTCTCCTTTTTATGATAGCAGAAACTGAGGCATAGAGAGGCAACGTTATGTGTCCCAAATCATATCCCTAAAAAGAAATGGCACTGGGATTTGGACTCCAGTAATCTGATATCAGAATCTGGTTCTTTAGTACTCCTCTGTCCTGCTTAATCTCACAGAAGCAGATTTAGCCTGTTCTGTTTCTGTAGCCTCTTATGTGTGCATCATTGCTTTCTTGTAAGTACATTTAATGGTGATTGTAAATGTATCTACAAGAATTCCTAGAAGGCTAAGAGAACTACATTTATATTTACAAAAGTAGAGAGAAGAATGAACCCATATTATTACATCTCTATTCATTAGTTAATGAATCTATATATACCCATCATTCTAATTAAATACTAATCAACATTTGGCAACATTTGTTTCAATGATTTCTTTCTTGATTTTTCTGTTGAAGTATTTTAAAGCAAAATCCAAAATCATGATATTTCACCTGTAAATACTTAAGTAAAAAAATAGGAGGCCGGGGATTTAGCTCAGTGGCTCTGCACCTACCTCTCAAGTGCAAGGGCCCGAGTTTGATCCCTGGTACCAAAAAAAATTTAAGTAGAATACTTTATCTTTTTAAAAGGCATTTTTTTCGGAGATCTGAAGGATCCAATCAAAGGCCTGGAGCTCACTGTAGTGCCCTGTCCAGTCGGTACCGGAGATCAAAGGATCTGTGATGGAGGCTGAAGAGTCTGCTCTGTATGCCAGGAGACAATATCCAACGTGAAGGTAAAAAATTGCCTTCCCCACTCTCTAAGACTTCTAGGTCAGCAGAGTATTAATTTGCAGGAACAGAAAGCAAAAACTTTGCTACGGCTTAGATCTGTCAGCCAGTGGGAGTCCGTGTTGCACAGCCCATGCATCACCTCTATCCCTGCCACTATGGCCACTCTGTTATGAGCCCACTGGGCAGTGACACGGATGGCTGAAGACAGAGATTGGCCTCTGTCTATGGAATAGGCCATCATTTCCACTTGATTGTTAAAGTCCTCTTCTGCTGAGGTCACTTTTTTGTAAGCATTTATGTGGGATACAAATATTTTTACATCCCTTCCCCATATGGAAAAGTTTATTCATATACCTCTTCCCCAAATAACTTTGTCACCAATTTTCAGACATGTTCCTTCAAGTTACTGACCATCAGACCAGACCATCGGCTACAATATACCATAACACATCTGGCCATTTTTTCTTCCAGGCAAAATGTACTACCGGGTGCACTACCCAAAGTTCTGCCCACTGTGAAGATTTCCCTTCAGGGGTATCCTGGAAAGGTGCTGTAATGCTGCAGTTGTCCACTTGCAGGTCGTGCCTGCATAGCATGCAGAACCTTCCATAAACCAGGCTCTAGCCCTTCCTCTGACAGCTGGTCCCGTGGTACACCCCATGAGGCCATGGGTGCGTGCTGGGAGACAGAAGGCAAGATAGCAGAAGTAGGAACCACGGGCATCTGGGCAACTTCCTATGTAACTTACTCAGGTCCCTCTGGACCTGCAGTGGCTATGTAACATTTCCATTTAAGGATGGACTGTCGCTGTGCACATCCATCCTTATGACTTGGTAGATCAGATAATACACAGATAGTGATGGGCAACTCAGTTCGCAAGGTAACATGCTGTCCCATGGTCAAGTGTTCAGTTTCCACTAAGGCCCGGTATGGGACCAAGAGCTGTTTTTCAAAGGGAGAGTAGTTGTCTGTAGATGATGGCAGAGCCTTGCTCCAAAATCCTAAAGGCCTCAACCATGGGACTTCACCTATAGGGGCCTGCCAGGGACTCCAAACAGCTTCTCCCTACCTGCCACTGGCACTTCATACCATGGGATCTGCTGGATCATGTGACCCCCAGTGGCACAGCAGCTGGGACTAGTTGCAGAGCCTTCTCTTGTTCTGGGCCCCCTTCAAAATAGCAGCTTTCTGAGTCACTCAGTAAATGGGCCAGAGTAAAATACCTAGGTGAGGAATGTGTTGCCTCTAAAATCCAAATAGGCCCACTAGGTATTGTGCCTCTTTTTTTGGTTGTAGGAGCCAGTGCAACAATTTATATTTTACCTTAAAAGGGAAGTGTCTATGTGCCCCACACCTCTGGACTCCTAGAAATTTCATTGAGGTAGAAGGACCTTGAATTTTAGTTGGGCATTTCTTTTTTTTTTTTTTTTTTTTTGGTACCAGGGATCAAACTCAGAACCTTGTGCTTGCAAGGCAGTTGGTGGCACCACTGAGCTAAATTCCTGGCCCAAAGGTGTTACTTGGACATTTCTTACTCAAAGTGGCACAGTTAGCTATCACAGTAGTACTCTAGTAGGTTGGGAATGAAAATGGGGTGAAATGAGTGAGATTGTCTTATTTCTATGTACTGTGGTATAGAGTGAATCCTTAAATTAAAGTGCTTTTGTGGTTTGGATTAATTAATTAATTTATCTTTTTATTTTGGTGCCAGGGATCAAATTCGGATCCTTGTGCTCATGAGGCATGCAGTGGCACCATTGAGCTAAATCCCCAGCCCATGGTTTGGATGATTTTAAATCAAAAATTTTAAATTGAGGGCTGGGGATTTAGCTCAGTGGTGCCACTGCCTGCCTCGCAAGCGCAAGGTCTTGACTTTGATCCCTGGTACCAAAAAAAATTTTTAAATTGAGAGTCTGATATGTGCAAGACAGTATACTGTAAACAATTTGTGGGGGCGTGCGCACACATGTGTAGTATCTGCCCCCTTTTTTTAATAAGGACATTTTTTAGTACATTTAGGGTCTACCCCAATAACCCAGCCAAGTTTCCTCATCTCAAGATCCTTACTTTCTTCTGCAAAGAATCTTCCCCCGCTTCAAAAAAAGGGAACATTTACAGATTCTGCAGTATTTTGGGGAGTGATATAGACAGCTAAGTAGAAAAAAAAAATTTTTTTTTTTTTTTGGTACAAGGGATTGAACTGAAGACCTTGTGCTTGGGAGGCAGGCGGTGGAGCCACTGAACTAAATCCCTGGCCCTAAAATAGAAATATTGCAGGCAATCAGACAGCAGGGCTGGGCTCTCAAAGTCAGTGTGGAGGAGAACACATCAAAGCTGTCTGAACGATTTTAACTGAAGATAAATAATATGAAACTTTATTTTTGAGATTTATAAACAAAGACTCATATTTTGTAAATGTTATAAAGTGAATTTATTCAAACAACCTGTATATAATATCTCATGTAATAGCACTGTTCTGGGTACAAGAAGAGATAGAACCAGGCATGAAGTAGTCCCTACTTTCCTGAGCTTATAATCCTTGGGAAAGACATTGTGTCTCTCTAGTACCAACAGTGGCAGACAAGAGCTCTGGGGATGACAGTGTGCTACAGATGTGAATTGTTTAAAATAACACAGGATTTTTAGATTTCAAGCTCAGATTTTTTAGATTAATATTCCATTTCACGTTTTATTAAATTTTAGTTCCAAAATGCCATAATATCTTCTTATTTACAGATTTCCCTCGAGGAATACATATGTTGTTTACAGAACACAAAGGTTACTCTTACATAGTGGTGGTGATCCTATGGTATGCATGCTGCAGTGGGCTGTTTGTATCCTTGGAAGGTCTAAAAGGTTCACCACAGGGCCAGGGATTTGACTCAGTGGTTCCACCACCTGCCTCGCAAGTGCAAAGACCAGAGTTCAATCCCTGGTACCCAAAAAGCAAAACAAAACATAAAAGGTTTGCCATCACTGCCCTTACACATTAAAAGAACAAGCACAAGGACCTGAGTTCAATTCCTGGTACCAAAAAAAATAAATAAATAAAAGAACAAAAGTAGCCGGGTGTGGTGGAGCACGCCTTTAATCCCAGCACTCGGGAGGCTGGAGGCTGAGGCAGGAGGATTGCTGTGAGTTTGAGACCAGCCTGGGCTACATAGTGAGTTCTAGGTCGGTCTCAACTACATAGTGAGACCCTGTCTCAAGAAAAAAACAAACAAAAAAAACCCCCAAAAAGAACAAAAGCAGCAGTACTGTACTAAACCTACAATATTTAAATTGCCTTCCCAGTTTATAAATGTTGCCTCTTAGTCCTGTTATCTGTTTATGCACTCATTGTTACACTTTGTGTCCAGATGTCCTCCAGAGCTTCACATGGTCACAGGTGGGGCTTTTCAGAGCTGGCTGGATCTAGAGTGTGAAACTGGGATCCAGGGCGTGTGATTACTAATTTAATCTATGTATTGGTGTGGCATGGTTCTGGATGTGGATAATGGGAAGGCCCTCGTGGGCGTATTACCCACCCTAAGGGCATGTAGCCTACATAGACTATAAGGGGCAGAAAGAGGCCTGCAGTCATCACTACTTTGCTGCTTTGCTGCCATCTGCCTGCTCTGCCGCCCGACGGACTATTTCTCTTCTGCCATGACACCCTGCCTTGGGGCCAGCCAGTTATGGACTGAAACCTCTCCAAACTGTGAGCTGAAATCAACCTTTCCTCCTTTAATGTTGGGGTTGGGTATTTTGTCTCAGCAATAAGAAAAGTAACTAAGACACTCATTAAGCAAATATTTATTAAATATTGTAGGCGACCCTGAAGATATAGCAAAGAAAATTAAGCTTTTTTTTTTGGTACTGGGGATTGAGCTCTGGTCCTTGCACTTGCAAGGCAGGACACCGAACCACTGAGCTAAATCCCCAGCCCTAAGCTTTTTTTTTTTTTTTTTTTTTTAGTTTTAAAAATAATTTTTATTTTTTTAAAGTTAAGCTTTTATTTTTTACCTTTTGGTGCCAAAAATTGAACCCAGAACCATGCACATGCTAAGGTCATACTCTTCCACTAAGCTACACCCTCAGCCCTGATAAACTTTTATCTTAGAAATCACATTTTAATATTGGAAAATAATGAGTTTCAAATCAGTACAATTCCCATGAGAAAGTGTCATTAAAGCTTTCCTTTCCTTTTCTTTTTTAGTTTTTTGAGACAGAATCTTGCTATGTATTCCAGGCTTTTTATTTTTTATTTTTTGGTACCAGGAATCAAACTTGTGTCCTTGTGCTTGCAAGGCAGGCAGCAGAACCACTGAGCTAAATCCCCAGCTCCAGGTGTTTTTTTATGGTCACTTCTGCTTTTATTTATCTTTTCCCTATGACAATAAATTAAGCAGCAGTGTTCCATTTTAAACACAAAAGTATATTAAATATAATTTGCTTAAATAGGGAATGCAGACAGCTAAGTAGTTACATGTTTAGGTTCCAAAGTAAATCTCTAAAGTTCCAAGTCCTAGTTTAGCATTTAACTAAATATAGGGCCAGGACAAAGTAGTAACCTCTTTGCATCTGGTTTTCTCTTCCCTAAAGTAGATTTAATGAACTACTTAGTTTTAGGGGTTAACAGAGACACTGTATACACCATACTTACCACTGATCTTATTAGCTCAACAGATGGTAGCATATTATACAGTGACAGTAAAAACAGCCTGATAATAAAAAGTTCAAATCCCAGGCCTCTTGCTTCAAGGATATTTTCCTTAGTCAGAACTGCTGTCTCTCTCATAAATCATTTTCTTTTATAGAAGGAGACAGGCATTGGGCCGGGGATTTAGCTCAGTGATTCCATCACCTACTTCACAAGCACAAGGACCTGGTACCAGAAAAGAAAAGAAAAGGAAGAGACAGGCAATTCGGTGAAATAGCACCTTACTTCCTCTCAACTTGACTGTACCATAGATATTGAGCCTCATTCTTTAAAAATGCAAAAAATTATTCTATTTCATAA